GAAACAACCCAGCATTTTTTAGAGTGTATATATATATAATTAAGGTCATCTCTTTCATTCAAAGCATGTTAAGGCCAAGTTGTAGTCAGAAACCATTAAAAAATGTGAGGTCTAGTAAGATTTTCTTTTTTTCCCTTTTTTTTTTTTTTAAAGAAATGGATACATATATTTAGCAAGAATGCATTAAATTGATCAAAAGTGATGTATTAAATTGATCAAAAATGCTGTTTCTTTGAACTTTTAATTCATCAAAGAATCTGTAAATACGTTTCTACAAAAAAATTAAGCAATACAACAGTTTCAACATTGATAATTCATGTTTCTTAAGCACCAAATCTAAAATTTCAGCTTTGCCATCACAGGAATAAATTACATATTAAAAATATATTAAAATAGAAAAAAAAATATTTTAAATTGTAATAAAATTTCACAAAATTACTGTTTGTACTGTATGTTTCGATCCAATAAATGCAGCCTCTGTAAGCATTAGGGACAAAAAAAAAAACATGAAAAAATCTTACAGACCCCAAACTTCTGTTAGTCTGAATTCGCAGAAACCTGACTGTATTATGATGTTAAAAACACAAATTATTGCTTTAGTCCCACTAAAATCAAACTTTATTTTGCATGTAAACACTTACTGTTCACTGAGAAAAGCCCACTAAAGTAAATGAAAGCTTTTAATTGGCATATGGTATGTAAATTAGTAGGGGTGGGACAATATATCGATATGGCGATATACCGTTGTCCTTCTCCATGCGATACGAGAATCAATATCTGGCGCCAAATATTTTACTACAATACAATACTACAGTATATTACTACAATAAGGTTCTCTATATAGATTTCCCTGCTCCCAGCATCTAAAAAATGCGTGGAAATCGTGGCCGCGCCATTTCCACCTTCTTTTCCAAAGCGCTCTCAGCATGAGCAACCATGAACCGCGTTCTCTATGAAGATGGGGAAGCACGAGGAACCGAAGGATAAACAGATTTCCAGCCACTGTTTTAGCTCTACTGCTATGTATATGTTTATGGAAAAAAAAAGAGAAATAAAAAACTGCCGCGGAACAGCTATCGGCGTGGACCACCATAGGCACCGATAACGTTATTATTGCAGAGCGCTTATTCAGTCCATGAGTAGCCTAACCTCTCCGCTCGGATCTCAGGTAGATTTCCCTCAGTATTTGAGTGAGAGAGAGTGCCCCGGGGCATCCAGTTTTATGTCAACAAAACTGGATGCTCTCCCTCTCTCA